CTTCTGAACTTGGAATGAATTACATGTAACTTCATAAGCTAAAGTGGGGCTGGCTAGAGAAGGGTGCAGACTTGCTTAGAAATAAGGTAACCCATTTTTTTGATTCTTTCCTATTATCTTTCTTTAGCTCATATAACTAGGATTATAGCTCAGGAAATGCTATTTTGGAAGAAGAGTGTCAGTTTAGAAGATGGATGTGCTGTGGCATCTCTCTCTCCAACCCCAACTGTCAATAAGGAGGTAGGGGGTGATTTTCCTACCAAGATAAATAAGGAGAGGAGCAAGACTTCAAAATGAGTAGAGTTCATATACTTACTCTATCACACTCTGCCTGGATATTGAGCTTCAGAGTTTTGTAGGATGCCCTGTCCCACTCCAGCTATCAGTACAGAAATGAAAATAGTTCTTAAAAAGATCTTATATTTCTAGGAATTGCCTTGACAGGCATGGGGGATGTGAAATAGATACTGTTGAAATGGACTATCTATGGAAAGTAGGTTCAGACAGGCTTGTTGAAGTCACACCCAGTAATACTGTATGTTAGGGAGCCATATGTCTCCAGCAAACCCAAAGCACCTCAAAAGAGAAGGCAGAGGACAAATTCCATCACGTGGACTTTCAATACCCAAGGAGAAGCACATCATACACATTGCACCACCTAAGTAGATGTTTACCCCTTTCTTGTTTTCTTTTTCGTTTCTTCCCATTTTTTAAAAAAATTTAACTTTGCAATAGGAACTAGTCTATTTAGCACATCAGTACATAAGTGTAATATAGTGCATAAAAATTAAGACAAAGGAAGATTTTTATCTGATTTTCCATCTGATACATTTAAATGTAGAAAATTATTTTTCCTTGTGTGGCCAGAAAACTGTCAAAAGAGAATGGTTGATGGAATTCAGTGTACTAAGCAACTGGGGAGCTATTTGTGGAAAAACAACATACATGGTCTTTCATTTGATGCTTCTTTCTCTCTGCTCTTTTTTGCCTTGTCTATACTACAAAAACCAAAGGAAATTATTTGAGATAACGTAGGACTCAGTACTAGCTAATTAAGAAGAAGGCCAAAGCACCATACGAAGGCCAGACATGGGTTTGGGAGGGAGATGTAGAAGATACCTGAAAAGGGGCCCTCAATATGAATAAAAGCAACTTCTGAATTATTACTATTGTGTAAATTTCCATTTTATAAAATAACAAATCATTTAAATTAATGATGATGGTGATAGTGCTTATACACATTGTCTTTTTTATTTTATTGGTTCTTTTTAGTTATATATGACAATAGAATGGACTTTGATATAATTATACAAGCATGAGGTATATTTTATTCTTATTAGGAACACAATACCTATCCTTCCCCTTTCTTTTCCCCACCCCCGCTTCCATCTATTGATCTTTCTTCCATTTACCCATAGTTATTTTGTTTGTTAAAATTTCTTGATGTATATGATGGTGAGATTCACTGTGGTGTATTCATATATGTACATAGACAACTTATGTCAGATTCACATTATCCAGTGGGATAAGTTGTAATATTTTCCCCATTTCTCTAAGTAGGAAAATCAAAGCCTTAAACAAACTTGCTTATGTACACAATGCTGGAAAATGGAACAATAAAACATTAATTCAGATGTAAACTCAAATAATTACAGATAAAGCTTCCTTTAAAATATGTTTATATTATACACACATATATTTATATATATTTTTATATAGAAAAATTTTCAATTTTTAATTTATATAGACTTATTTATATATAAATTCAAGTTTGAAATAACAATAGATATTGGGATTTATGTCAAGAGTTTTGGATTAACAGATATTACACAATAAAGAATACAATGCTTTTCTAAATGACAAGTTACATAGTTAACTCTTTATTCATATTTCAAGTGTTACAAATGTGTAACTTATAGAATATTGACATTCAGGGAAAGAACTGTTGTTCCTGTATTCATTGTATGTTTTTCCATTTTTATCATAGTGCACTTTTCAAATTCATTTCTTAAAATGTGACATAATCCTTTTAAGTAACCAAGGATTTATATTGTCTCATAATTTATATGTTGTTTTGAAAATAGTAACATATTTTATAAATTAATAAGCACAGGGATATTTATCTGTCTCTAATTAAAGCATGTAAGAAAGTTTCACTATAAATGTGTACTAATGTAAAAGTACATATTTATATTACTGTTTTGATATTGCTAAGAAGTTGAGTTGAATCAAGTTACTTGTATTGACTACAAAAAGTGCTTTGATGACTACAAAATTCAAAATATACCCTAGAGGAGAATTGCAAAGAAATTTATTTATTATTCATTTGTTACTTTTTGGTGTCGGAGGAGCAATTCTAAGGTTGAAATGCTTTGCTAAATCTGCTTTGGAATTTAGAATTTTCTAATAAGAGAATTTTAAAGAGGCATAAAATTTTCAAGTGAACATCCTAATGTGAGACCTTTCCCCTCCAAAGCAGCTCTGTCAATTTTCAAAGTTTAGTTGGTCCGTTAGAAAAGACTCATCTTTTAAAATACAGGATATGCACTTAATAGAGGCAGAGTGCATCACTTGAGAGCTGTCTCAGGATATTGGTGTCCCTTTTAATCTGTGCTGCCTGACAAAACAGGCACAAAATTCAACACTTGGTTCAACACCATTAGTAGCTCGAGTTGTAGGTAGTATCTAAGCAAAAGAAGCACAAAGTGGGCAGCGCAAGCCTTCAACTCACTTTCAGAGAAGAGTACTTCATGCATTTTTCATACTATTTCTCTTCCATAAGATTTTAATGGACTCAAGTATGTCATGTATATAGAACTCATGATAAAATGGAGATACAGGCAATACATGATTGAGGAAGCTGCAGAAACAGATGAAGTCTTTCAAATGCATCTTCTGAACATAATTTAGTTTAAAATGTAAAAGTGTTTTTGCTAAAAAGCTTTTTAATAGCACAAGGAAATTTATACTATAAAAAGTTTGAAAGGATTATTCATCCCAAACGAATTATTTACGTTTGAAACGAATATTTATAGAGAGCCTCTGAATTAGGCAGCAATCTTTGTCTTTGTTTAAACACAATTAACAATATGCAAAGTAAGGCAGTGATTTTTAGAAATTATGTGAGCATAAGTATTACTATTGGCAGTCATTTCCATATCTGAACAGTGAGTACATAAAATGAGGAATGACTAACCTGTTATGCTCTTAATTAATGAACACCTGTACACAATGAAAGCATGGCTGATTTTATGGATGCATGAAAATCCAACCAGCCAATTAATGTTCAGTTTAAAATTCACACTTTTGAAAAGTAGCAGAAAAAACAACTTGTGAGAGGCAAATCATAAAATCAGAGAAGTTGGATTTTTCTTTGCATGAATATTTTCCAGCATATGTAACATATTTTTTCCCTTGGGTGCTTAACTTTTATGTGGAAAAAAATCTGAAAATATTTTGTACAGTTATTTGTATTTAATGAAATAACTTGATCATTTGGAATTCTTTCCTCTCATTTTTAAAGGGACAGACATGATATGCTTAATTGTTGTGATAGTTTATTTTGCTGATAATTATTTTGTTTAATTTGTTAGAAGTCGAATCATATTTTGGTCCAAATCTATAATATAGTAAAAAATGGATATAATTAATCCTGTCTTCTATGTACATATGCCTCTGACCTAGATAATGATATGGATAAGGCTGCCGAAAGGAAAGAGAAAGAATGTTCCCTTTTAAAATAAGACATGTTGAGTACAAGTTCCAGATACTGTTTTATATTCCAAAGGATAGTGAAGACGTGACAAAAATCTTCATTTTAATGAACTTTCTCTGAGTTTTACATATTATCATTAAATATGTATAAAAACATTAGTTTTTTTCCTTCCTGGATCTAATACCTACTTTGCCACCTGCCCCATTTATGTTTTTATATTACTCTCATCAAAGTATTGACTCATGTGTCTCCTTGTGTTCTGTTAGGTGCTGTCTATTAGGTACTGTGTTAATATACAATTAAATGCAATTTATTTATGTATTTTAATTGTGTATATATGGATACAAATGGTACCCATTTGATACACACAACATGTAATGATCAATTCAGGATAATTAGCATTCAGTGCTCCTAAACATTTATCATTCCTTTGTGTTACAAACCTCTGAACGCCTCTTTTCTTCTTTATAAAATTAATATAGAATTTTATAGGGTTATAAAATTTATGTCTCAATAGACTTTGTCCAAAGTAATAAAATCTACTAAAAATTCTTTGTATGGAAATTTCACAGATACACTGATTAATCCATACAATTAATTAATTAATAATCTTAGTAAATTTTTTTAGTTCCTTGTATATCTACTCTTTCCATGTGATGAGAAAGATAGCTTAATTTACTTTTTGAGTAAAGCTGTTAATTCCTCTTATCTACATTAAAAAAAAAAACATTTTTATCAGAGATACTTATTCTAAAAGGCCAGAAAAATGCTTTGTTTTCTAAGTCAGAATGCAGATGTGTGTTTATTATATACATAGACTTCAAGTAAGCAATAGGTCAAGGAAGGACTGTGTTTGTATTTGCAAGGTATAATTTATACAGGTTAGGTGGTGAAGGTCAGCATAAAGGAGTTATAAGGAAGTAGGTTATAATTAAAGGAGGATGTTGTCACTGGAGAAAAAGAAGAAAAATCCATTCTGGATTTTGTGGATGTATAGTGTATAAGTATACAATTAGAATTAGAAACTAATTGCTTTGACTTCATACTAACTTGAAGATGCTGTGAAGGTTGGTAGAAAATTGCAGCATCCACGTGCCTGTATTTGTGGTCACAAGGAAAAAAGAAGTTTTGAAAACAAGTAAAGTGAAAGCATTATTTTAAAGGAAATGATTTTATGATATCTAGGGTAAATGCATCAGGACAAATTATATTAAGGCAAGCAATAAAGCAATCATGCTTAATTCAGCTTGCTTTCAAAGTAAATTCCAACTCTTTAAATTCTTACCTGCCTCATTTGTGCGGATCATCCGAGATGGGGTGCTTGGATCTCCAGTCCCAATTGGATTGGTGGCTACTACACGAAACTCATATTCCACCCAGGGGTTTAAGTCCACTGCCATGGCTGACTCCATATCTCCTGTTATGATTTCTGGGACTATAGAGAGGAATGATATTTTATGTCATTAGGAGGACTATAAAAATACTATAAATGGCATTCAAAGATATCACTATTACTGACATAATCAACAGGCAGATTCATACCTCCTCACAACACATGCTCATGGCACCACCTCCAGTGTCAGTAGTAAAATGAAAATCAATTTTCAGGAAATAAGTGCTTGCAAGTGTCAAAGTTTACTGGAGTTTATTAAAATTCTTTACTTATGTTTGGTCATTATATAACTTGCTGTTATCTACACTAAAAATCATTTCACCAACTTTTAACTCCAGATAAGAGGCCAAGTCATAAAAAAATCTAAGCAAAGAGTTTTTCTTCAATTTCTATGAAATTTCTTGAGCAGTTTGCCTGTCCTGGTCTGACAAACATATTTTGCTACTTGGTAGTTAAATAGCAAATTAAGAATATCTCTCTCTAATTTAAAAACTTGTTGGGATATAAGTGGATATTCTCTCTTCTTCTCATAGTGACTACATTTTTCATATTTTGTACTACATTTGTATTTTTATCAAAAGGTAAAATTGTCAATACAATTACCATGTAGCAAAATACTTTTTATATAGCATATATGCACTATTCAGAACTGCTTTTATTGCTCATCTCTGCTCTTTAGGAAATATTGTTAGAACTTATTATGTGAAAAAAAAAAAGGGAGATTCTCCATATTCTTATGTGTAAAGATCTTGAGAGTTGATATCATTCCTTGATTTCTATGTGATGGGGACAGGGACAAATGGGAGTGGAGTAAGGCTGTTGATTTGATGATAGTTCAGTTTTACTATGGCAAAGTAGGATTCATTCATTTTGAATTTTGCATGAAAGTCTCTTCTGAAATGTACAGAAAGTTACCAAGTTAGCAGCTCCATGGAAGGGTGAGTGAACAGAGCACAGGCTGTATGGCCTGCCTGATAAATCTCACAGAACTGCGGGGCTGATTGTTGTAAGTGGTGACATGAAGAGGTGGGGGAAAAGCTTCTCCTCTTATTGCACTGGACACTGAGCACTGTTCTTGGAGCACAAAGATCTGAGATATAGGAGAAAGGCCACCAATCCATATATTGGGGAAATACTGAGCTACCCTTGCCACACACCAAGGTAGGAACAAGATTCCCAGACACCCTCTCTGGCTCCCTTCTACACTGTATCACCAACACTTGTCTTGGGTCCACCAGGATTTACCTTGCTGCTTCATTTCATTTTGCTATGGTAGGCAATTTCAGACATCTGCACCCCTCCACCTTGTTACTTTTATTCTTATCTCCATAGAATTTAGCACACTTGCTTTTCTACCCAGCTTGTGTTCCTCCTTAATTCCTGAAGCTCTTCCACTGTGATCTTTGGAATTCATGATCTGTCAGCAGCAAAATCCCTTCTACACTTAAAGTCCTCCTTAAAGAACTTAAAGTTCTTCCAATTTCTTACTCTAATAGGAATTGAGGACATTTTGCCCTTCTCAAGGGCTGATTCTCTTAAGATATTGCATAGAAGAATAAACAGCCTCCAAATGCAGATAATGTATGCTTTCTATAAGCAAACAAATATGCAGGTATTTTTTTCCTACAGGAAAAGAAAACAAAACAAAACAAACAAACAAACAAAAAACTCCCAAGGCTCTTATCACCTTTTCTCTCCTTCTAGTCTTCACTTAGTTTTTCTATTTCTTTTAGAGCAAAAATGTCTTGTTCTGCCTGTGGATTTTTTTCTTTCCATTCTTTCTTGAACCCCCTCCAATCATGCTCTTACTTCCAGCTTTCCACCTTATCTTCTGTCTAGCTTACCAATGGTCTCTGTTATTGAAACTTTAAGGTCAGGTCTCAGTTCCTCATCTTCCTGGGATGCTAGCGTCACTCTTCCCCATTTTCTTATTACCTGGTGATCTTATCCAGTCTCATAATTTTAAACACCCTCTCTATGCTGATGACTCCAATATTTTCAGCCATGAATCTCTTGGCTAGACTCCAGACTCATGTTCAATGGCCTATTAGACAATTACACTTGAATAATGTTTTGAAGGACTCATATTAAGGGAATGACAGTTTCTTTCTTACAGATGTAGCCAAAATCTTAGAGCCATTCTGAACACTTTTATTTCTTCCTGTCTGACTCCAATCCCTAAGTAAATTATGGTGTTTATGACCTCAAAATATGTTTATTTCTTCACTTCCCTTTGTAGTAAAACCTAACAATTTTCTGTAATAACTTCTCTCCCATTTTCTCTTGAATTATTCTTATCAGATATTATTGCCTACCATGGCACTAAAACTGATATTATCAAGGGTCGCCAATGGTCTTCATATAACTAAAACCAGTGGTCAATTCCAGTACTCATTTGACATGTCAGCCACATTTGAAATATTTACTCTCTTCTGTGATAGTCTCATTTTTTTTTCCTTCCAACAAATCACATTATTTTGATTTTATTTTCTCCCAATGATTACTTCCTGTCTGTATCCTTTGGCTGATTACCCTTCTCAACAACTTTTTACTATTGGATTATTCCAGGACTGGATTTTCATACTCATTTCTTTAGTTTATATTTATTTTCTTTGAGTTGACATGCAACCTTATGGCTTTAAATACAATTATGTGACAATTTTACAATTTATAACTTTATCCTAAACCTCAAACTTGAGACTCCAAATGTTTCAAATGACTAATTTTATGACTTGTCCTTTGTCACTCTGAAGCAATACCATCTCTCAACAATGATAGCTTCCTAACCAGTGTAGTGCCCCCTCTCCTCACCTGTTTCATAATCTATTTCCAACATAGTTGGAATGAATGTATTAAAAGATAAGACAGGGAATATCAGTTCTCCAGTATTTCTCCATTCTTTCAGGATGTGGGACTGCCAACATCTCTCCAAACTCATCTTCTACCATTTTTCCAAATCTCATTCTGCCCCTGCCTCATTAGTCTTCTGATACTTTCACATTGGTTTGTCCTTCTACATGGGCTGCTTTCCCCTTTGGTATTGGCATAGCTAAATCCTCATCTCTTTTAAAAGTTCACTCAAATGTACCAACTCCATGAGGCATATGCTGGCCACTCTATTTCAAATTATAACCTCCTGTTGTGAACTGAATTGTGTCCTTCTAAAATTCATATGTTGAATCCTTAACCTCCAGGGTTGCTTTATTTGAAAATGGGGTCTCTAAGGAATAAAGTTTTAAGTAATCACAAAAGGGTGTTCTCTTCTTAGTATGCTTATAAAAAGAGACACCAGAGCATTTGCATGTGAGAGCCTTCATCAGGAACCAAGTCAGCCAGAAAATTGACCTTGCAATTCCAACTTCCAAAACTGTGAGAAAATACATTTCAGTTCAACATACTCAGTGTATGGGTTGCTATGGATGCCCACACCAACTAATATACTGCTTTACCAGTGTACTTCTACCATACCATATCAACACAATTTATTTTTTTCCCACAGCACACATCAAATTCTGACATACTCTGCAATTTATATGCTTATTTTGTTTTCTGTTAATTATTTATCCTCATGATGACAGTGCAATTTTTACAAAGGCAGAGATGTTGTTGTTGTTAGTGTTCATCAATGTATCCTAAATACCTAAAACAGTGATTTTAAAGTTCATTTCATTTTATGGTCTTACATACTTTTCAAATACCATGTTAAAAGCATATCTTACTGTCAGGAGGTGAGTTTGGGGTTACACGTCCTTGCTGGACAGTGCATTGAAGAAATAGGGGGAATTTAGTTTTAAAATATAAAAAGATGAAAATAATTTTTGGAATAATACAACTATAATGGAAACATCTTAAAAGTGGTCATTAAAATACTATAATGTTTTAAATAATACAATTTATGTTAGATTTTTTTATAAATAGATATGTGACTATAAAGGCATTGCACAAGGAATGGGGACAATGGAACACTCCTATATCCTAATTTTCCCGTGGCTTCTTGAATCTGTAAAATAAAATTACAAAGAATTTCACAGAACTACGCACCAAGAAAAATTGCATTATCAGACTGGGTGAAATCCAAATAAGGCCTGAAGCTCGACGGAGAGAATTGTCCCAATGTCACTTTCCTGATTTGATAACTGTATTGTGGCTGTGTAAGATTTTATTATTGGGGGAAGGTGGGGAGTGGGTCCGAAGAATCTCTGTATTATTTTTACAACTTTTATGTAAGTCCAAAATGATTTCAACAAACAAACACGATGTGCTCCCTGTTTGGAAACTAAGAGGAAAGAAAGGTAGCTTGCTTTTTTCAGTTCATAAAAAGAAGCAAACGGTGGTCAATAGTGTAATAAATAATAACAAGATTTCAGAACCTAGAAAAGATCCTAGTGAGATTGTAAACAGATATCAATCATGAGATAGGAAGCTCTGGTTGTGTCTGATTTTGCTTTGGGACTCACCTGTTTTTACAGTTTGCCAGCCCAAGGAGAAGGGGCTGCGAGCCTGCAGGTTATAGGAGGAGATTGGGCTGTGGTTGTCAGCTGCTGGACTCCAGGAGAGTGTGGCTGTGCTGTCGGTGATTTCCTCCACAATTACTATTCCAGGTGGACCTGGGGGACCTGAAGGCAAAAGGCAAAGGGCAAAGCTAAGTACAGCTCATTATGAGGAGCCAGAAGAAATTGTATTGCCAGTGTGGATCTCATCAAACTACATAATCATCTTAATGAAATATGTATTTAGTAATGAAAATTGACAGGAAAAAATTATGGGATGCAAGTTGGTTTCTAGGATTTCTGCAGGGAATTTAATTATAGATTGGATATTTTTCTGATGTTTTGTGCCTGGAGGCAACTACCAATTAGCATTATGTTTTATAGGAAAAGAAAAAATAATAACTAGAAGCAGATACAGGGTATAAACATCAATATCAACTATAGTTGTTGAAATCTATCACAGCTTACAGAGGTTGCAACAGAGGTTGCAACAGAGTGATAGTCAATGCTTCCAGAAACGAAAGCAATCCCATTTTCATGTTGAATAAACCTACAGTATATAAAATTGTGATGTGTTCTGTTAAGTATCTTAGACTGTAACAAAAGACAATGAAGGGTTCTGAAGAAATGATAGTATTGATAAGGTAAGGACATATACCAGAAGTGAGACATGTGTAGAGTTGATGAAAATTTCAAGACTGAAATTAGGTTCTTTTTATTTATCTTTGTGTAAGGCAGTGTAGGTAGTGAATCAGAGGAGGTTAATTCTTTTTTGATCTTGAAAGAATTGCATAGCGTAGTGATGACTAATCTTTGTGAACATGAACTTCATCTTTAAAAAGAAACCATGATCTGATTTGAGGAGAAATGTACCATTGTATTATTGACTATAAAATAGTGATTTTAATAGCATTTAAAAATGCACAGCTATTTATACTGTGATAACTAAAAGCAATGTCAGTTATCTCATTGACATTTTTTTTCTGTTTTTTAATGTAGACAATTCAAGTTGCAAGAATGCTTTTATTTTCAATGAAAAAAATTCTACCTTTAAGTGCTTTATTGTTGTTATTTTCTGAACTTGCTACACATGTAGCAAGTTGCTGTCTGGATTTGGTGATTGGGATGACTGAGAGGTAAGGACTTTACTAGACTGCAAGGAGCTAAGAAATGATTTGGTGCTGAAAAGAATGAGCAGTTAGTGAAGACCTCTGAGACTGTCAACAAGAAAGAAACAACGAGATGGAGAAAGAGTTTAAAAGCCTCATTGGGGCAAATGATGTTTTCAGGATATGAAGGATGAGCATTTTTACCCAGGCTGAGAAGAACCAGCAGCATATGGTAGAGACTAAAGATTTGATAGATATGGACTATTCATCAGAAGGGTGACAGAAAGTTGGGATTGTGGACAGAGTAGTACAGGATAAACTTGAGAGGGAGTAGCAGTTTTTCCTCCAAGAGAGAAGATGGAAGCAACAGGGAAGCCATTTAACACAGAAAGTCTTTGAGATTGCAAAATTAAAAAGGCTCATTTTGGAAGGCACTCGTTTTTTTTTTTTTTTTTTTTTTTTCACTAAAGTAGAAAACAAGACTGTCAAGCTGGGGCTGTAGCTCAGTGGTGAAGCACTTTCCTAGCACTTGTGAGGCCCTGGGTTTAATCCTCAGCACCACATAAAAAATAAATAAATAGAATAAAGGTATGTGGGAAAAAACCTTTTTTTTTTTTTTTTTAAAGACTATCTCCAAAAGTGAAAGTGATGGGATGAATATGAGGTGACCCTGGAGAATAACAGGGAAGGGTTGGGATAGGGATATAGTAAAAATGGAAATGTGCAAAGAAGAGGCTATAAAATGATTTTGGAATAGTACTGGAGTTCAAGTTTGCTTGGAGTACATCATTTTGAAGGGAACTGAGGAACTTGGCAAGGTCTGGAATGCTAGGACCAGGAAAACAAGAGAAGTTAAGGTTTAAGAGTTTGGCAGAGTTAGTCTTTATCATCAAAGATACTAAAGACATGGGTGACTGTGGATTCAAGGTAGAGTTAGGGGGTAAGGTGAGGCCAGAAAGTGCTGACAGACAAATAAAAAGGAGTCAGGAGATGGGATTATTATTGTAGGAAATGTAAGAGTAGGATCATGTTTATGAAGGGAGATTGGCAGAATTTGTTACTATTTCTTGAGAGGTAAAATAGTTTCGAGTGACGATTTGGTTTGCAGGAGAGAAGTGAAGAAAATAACTATTAGGTTGACAAGTTCTAGGGATGTAAAAGTTTGTCTAATGTGTCAGCAGTATCAGTCTTGAAGCCACTAAAATAGTGGTTATACATATGGTGAGAAAAATAAATGTGATGTAGTTGCTAAAGTTGTTAGACTGTGGTGACAGGAATAAGGAGAACATCTGTAATAACAATATCATGAGAAGAATATTAGTTATAATAATAATACTAATAGCTGTCATACTCTCCTGTACTATATTAAGGAGCTGTACTAAATGTTTTCCAAACATTAACGTATTCCTAGAGTGGATAATGAACTTTGAAATTATTTAATAAATAATAAATTTTTTAGTCAATATCTTTATGTTAGGTTTGTTCTAGGCACTAGAAATTGGAGTCCATTCTAATGAACTGTTGGTGAATGGCATAACAGATTTGAATGCAGATCTGATTGTAAAATCTGATTTTTAGAAAGAAGAAAGGGGTAATATTTCATTGTGTATATATGCCACATTTTTTTTTATCCATTCATCTATTGAAGGGCATCTAGGTTGGTTCCATAGTTTAGCTATCATGAATTGTGCTGCTAAAAACATTGATGAGGCTGTGTCCCTGGAGTATGCTGTTTTTAAGTCCTTTGTGTATAGACTGATTAGAGGGATAGCTGGGTCCAATGGTGTTTCCATTCCCAATTTTCCAAGACCATACTGCTTTCCATATTTGCTGCACCAATTTGCAGTCCCATCAGCAGTGTATGAGTGTACCTTTTCCCCCCATATCCTTGCCAACACTTATTGTTTGTATTCATAATAGTTGCCATTCTTACTGGAGTGAGATGAAATCTTAGAGTAGTTTTGATTTGCATTTCTTTAATTTCTATGGCATTTGCAGATAAATGGATGGAGTTAGAGAAGCTAATGGTAAGTGAAGTTAGCCAATCCCCCCAAACAAATGCTGAATGTTTTCTCTGATATAAGGAGGCTGATTCATAGTTGGGTAGGGAGAGAGGGAGCATGGGAGGAATAGACGAACTCTAGATAGGGCAGAGGAGTGGGAAGGAAAGGGAGGAGGTATGGGGTTACAAATCGTGATGGACATTATTATCCAGAGTACATGTAAAAAGACATGAATTGCTGTGAATATACTTTGTATACATCTAGAGATATGAAAAATTGTGCTCAATAGGTGTAATAAGAATTATAATGCATTCTGCTGTCATATATAAATAAAAAATGAATAAAATAAAGAAGAAAGAGATAAGAGACCCTATCTCCTTTTATTAGTAATCTAGGAAGCAGTTTCCACTGAAAGAAGGAAGGAAAGAAAGAAAGTGTGTCATAAAGGCACACTTAAATTATGTAGCAGACAGAGATGCCATTTGAAGAATAGATTAAAGACATGCCCAAGAGGATTACCCGCTTCCTTTCCTCCCTTTAGGTGTAACTCATTTCCATTTGACAAGTGGAGCCTCCTCTTTGACCCACCTTGAATCTGGGCTGTCCTGTATGGATCCAATAGATAATGGTAGATGTGACATTGTGTGACTTCTGATGTAAGGTCATAGGAAGCTTTGCCTTCACACAGGTCTCCTGGAAGGCATGTTGTGGGAAACAAGTGAAAGTTTGGGACTCCCATTCTCTAAGGAAGTCCAAGTTAGCCATGTGGAGGAGCCTATGAAGAGGAAGGTACACCCAGCTTGCCTCCAGCTATTCTAGGCATCCCAGCCCAGGCAAAGTGAGGGAAGAGGCCTTCAGCTGATGCTGGCATCTGCATGAGAAACCTTAGGCATGAACTGCCTAGCAGTGTCCATTGGCTGCCTAAACCATGAAAGCAAGGAGTAGATGGATTTTTGAAGCTACTAATTTTTGTCGCAGCAATGGCTAATTGGAATAGGCTTCAAAATGCCTTGTTTTGACAATTTGCCAACAAATTCATTTATTAAGCTGTTCTGTAGTGCTTCATTTCATATATTCTAATTATTCATCTCTTCAAAGGAAATTTATTAACAACTGCCTATGGGAAGTCTGAGAAACACTGAAGAAACAACTATTGAAAAATTCACCTTTCTGAGCATTAAATTTCTAAAAATGTTGATTGGCTCTCTTAAAAAGTAAAGATATATTTTTAATAATGGGTACTAATTACTATAAAGCTTTGGCTGGAAAAATATGTTCTTGGAAATTTACAACATAATAAAGCTTTAAGTTCTTTTTATTTTATGTGTCTATTTGCCAAAATGTGATCCTTAGCAAAATAATCAGTGACAGGGATAAAAATTTATGTACCCAGGATACTGATTATGGCTGTACAATTATTTATAATTATAAACCATTCTAAACAACTAATTGTCTAATAATCATATAATGTTTAAATTATAAATTCTTATGATAAACTACTAGGGTTCCATTAAGCTGTCTAGTATTAAAGGCTATTTAATAACATGCAGAATGTTCATAATTTAATAAGTGAATAAAATGGATTACATAATTGCATGTAAATATGAACGTTATCAGTTGTAATGTGACAAATATGCAACATAAATACTGGAGAAAAATAAATCATTACTTGGATATGGGGTTAGATGATTTAAACCTTATTCATATTTGTTTGGGTCTTCTAAGTCTATAATAAGCATATATTAATTCTAAAATTATTTAAAAAATTATTTTAGAGAAAGTTTCTATATTGTGATGTGTTAAGTGCTTTCCTAAGGATATTCAATTAGACTAAACAAACATTCACTGAGTGTCTAGTAGTGTGTACCACTGTGAGCAACTATGGGAGGTGGCAAAGGGGAAGTGGTTGCCGAAGGATAAGATGGGGTTTTGGCCATGTGTTAAAATCCAGTGGCAGAGACCCATCTTTCATTTAAAAAAGTGCTTTAAAAATGTATTTCATATCATGATAATA